GTTTATCCAATTAACACAAAAATACTGTATAATTGTTTTTATGTAGAAAAGTGTGCATTCAATGAGAATCACAGTATGACTACACGTGCAGTGGTTTCCCAATTAATAAGATTCTGTAACATAAATGCAAATAGAAATTGATATTTATTTTATATTCTGTTATCTAATCAGTCTGTATGTGTCATACATATGAAAATGCATTAAAATCATTAATCCTTTTTAAAAGTTGTATTATTATATTTTATTTGATTATAAATCATAATTGTAGTGCTACAGTATAATCTATATTTAATTATAATTATCTATATAATAGTAACGTATTAATGTTATTAAAGTTTGCTTGGAAAAAATAAACACATTTTTATTCTCCATTTAAAATCTATTTGTGAATCAAATTTTCTATTAATTCAATTGTGTTGTATAGAGGAGGGGAACACAGTTTCACACAATTTATTATACGATTGTATTTATATTTATACGTATAATGATTGCAATTGATTTTCGGTTCACTAAATTGAGAATCACTTTTGAGTCCGCAATTAGATATACACTGGCAATGAGTTTATTATAAAAACATGTAATAAATTGAAACGAGAATACGATTGAAATTTTGCAATTGTTTTGTTCAGTTGTTAGTACTATATATAAGAGGTGAACAATCGTCTCGTGAAATTGAATCCTAAATTTAATTCACAAAAACAAATCCATTATATATTTCTTTCTCATCAAAGTTAGAGCCGATGTAATGGTCGTCGAGTTGAGAGAAGCTCTGCCTTCAGTTAAACTTATTTTTGTTTTGCAATTATTATTTACATCTAAAGTGAATCGATATCTTTTATAATGTAAGCATCTCTCTCTCTCTCTCTCTCTCTCTCTCTCTCCACTCACTCTCCATTGAAAATTCACATATAATTTTAACATTTAATTAATTTTAACAATTGTTTATATACAAAATATTTTTAAAATTATTGGCAATAAACATGTAATATTAAACAATCGATAGTTAAGTAAATTATTTTTATAACACGTTCGTTAAAACTTTCACATTTAATTTAATCTAAATGTATTTTAAAGTTAATAATTATTTGTTAATTGGAAACTTTATTAATTATTATAACTAGTTGTTCTAAATGAACAATTAACTAAATAAAATATGAATTTATAGCTAATTGGTAGCGCACTGTAAGGGCAGATGCAGTAAACCATAATATTTAACTTTAAACCAATAGATTGTGAGCCAAAACAATCGTTTAGATAAAGGATTCACCAAAAAACCGGTGAGAATGATATTGTACACTCAAAACAAAATGTTAATAATTTATAAATAAAATTTATAGATATATAGTGTGTATAATGTGCCATAATATATATCACTGACAGTGTGTGGTGTTGTGTGGACTGGAGTGCAATAGTCTTATAGTAGTTGTAATGCATTATTAAAATAGCGACTCAATCGCAATCACATTTAGGTTTGCGCTCATCATTTCGCTTGACCTCCCAAGAAGTACCAGTGCTCTCAGTATGCCTGTGCCTCTACGTGTGCTCATCATTCAGTCCCCTTTTTTCCTCAGTTTCCTATCTCTCCATAATATAGTTCACAGACGAGAAAAAATTGGTCGATCAGAGAGTTATTGTTATTCGGAGCGAAACAATAGGAATCGTTTGCAACCATACATTCGTACTCAATCTCTCTCTCTCTCTCTCTCTCTCTCTCCATATATCTCAGGGTATGAATTTATATCTGATATATAAATATGAAAAAAATATTGCAATTATATTATACTCCAAATACAAGTCCAAAAAACGTGAAGATGTGTTCATGATTTGAGTTGATTATTGAATCGTCCTTTTATTGTTTCATATACTTTACTGCAATAGTTTTTGTTATGCATTTTGAACGCTATTTCCCGGCAATCAATATATTTAAGCCGAGAGAGAAAGAGAGAGACCGAAAAATCTCACACAAAATAATAGGCGACGAGAAAATCATCTTTTTATACACACATATAGTGTATGTCATGAAAATTTGTTCACTTGTTTCAAATTAGAGTCACTAAAATTGGAGTTAATTCCAGTTCCCAACACTCATACAGAGCACCGGTACTCTCTTTCTATGTGTTGTGTTTGATTTGCACAACACATCATTCCCTTGCCTTTCCTCCGCTCGCAAACCAATTTGCCTCTCAATCGAGCGATTCATGTATTAAAATATATATGAATTATATTCTGTAGTATTAGTGAGTGTGCGGCCAATGAGCACATGAATGGCATGAATAGTGTATGCGTTCATTGTTTTTGACGAATACACTGTTCGCTCGTATGGTTCACACAATCAAAAAATCAATTTAAAGACATATTACCCGATCGCATGACACCATTGCCGCCATCATCTCTCTCTCTCTCTCTCTCTCTCTCTCCTCTCTGTAATGCCGCCGCTTTAAGCACCGGTCAATCGTCAATAGCACCAATGACCTCAAGAGTTAGTAATTTGAGCCGCAATTCACTCCTAAAAACATATCAAATGTTAAGTCTATTACTTATATGAGTTGAATATAAAACCAACGAAATTGTATGTTTCAAAACCAATTGAATGTGTAATATTCACAATAAATAAATTTAATGTGCGATACTTTCATACAAAAACATGTATAAAATTGCAAAATATATATTCTTTGAAATATAGTGTGTGTTATAACAGTGTTATAACAGATTTGCATAAAACAGAATTGAAATATTCTGTAAGTATATACAGTATATCTCTAAAATATATCAAACATTTCTTAACAAAACAAATAGACATTATTTTTCTTTTTATTCTGTTATAAGTAATAGAGAAATAGAGAATAAAAGGGAAATATTAAGTTTAGTTTAAAAATAAGAATATTATATATAACAAGAATATTGTAACATAACATATACGAAAATATATACTCTCCCTCCCGGTGTTGGCCTTATATATCACATCAATGTTTTTTTTATATACAAAACAGAATTTCTTTTAAGAAAATTTAATAAAGTTTTTGTCGATGAGTTATGGCTTTAAATTGAATAACACATACAAACTGTGGGCACAAAAAAGGAAAGTTTAATAAAACACAACATAGAGAGAGAGAGAGAGAGAGAGAGAGATTGAGTACGAATGTATGNAACAATAAAAGGACGATTCAATAATCAACTCAAATCATGAACACATCTTCACGTTTTTTGGACTTGTATTTGGAGTATAATATAATTGCAATATTTTTTTCATATTTATATATCAGATATAAATTCATACCCTGAGATATATGGAGAGAGAGAGAGAGAGAGAGAGCTATACATTGAAAGAAAATAAAATTTGAAGTCAAATATCAGCTCTTTATCGATCTGTTCGCGAGATAAATACCGGGCCCTCCAGTCTCCCGGCGCTAACATTTGGCATGTGTTACCTGATATGTCAGAGCCGTACATTTTATCGCAATAAAATTTAGTGCAATGTATTAGTTTTTTATTAAGCATTATATTTTCATTACAATAGACTTTTTTGAATACATTTCTAACTCGTAAGTATAAATGAATTAAAAATCTGCTAAATGTCTGCACAAAACAATAAAACATTATATAAAAATTTAATAATATTAATCGTGCTATAATATTATCATCAGGGATAACCATTGGTGTGTTTCATTTAAAGCAGTTTATTTGTAATATTTATTTAAAATTGGTATATTTTTAATTATTTTAATTTAAACAAATTACCAGATTTAAAATTACATAGAAAATATATTTTTAGAATTTAATCAGAAATTAATAAAATTATTTTGAATTGAAACAAACTGCCCTGCTCATTGCCATCACTCTTCCTTTGCGAGTTGAAAGTTTGCACATTTACTGTGCTTTTGTCACAATTTGTGTGTTTCATTTAAAGCAGTTTATTTGTAATATTTATTTAAAATTGGTATATTTTTAATTATTTTAATTTAAACAAATTACCAGATTTAAAATTACATAGAAAATATATTTTTAGAATTTAATCAGTGAATGTGTGGTTTTGTTGTTCAGCTTTAATACAACTAATGAAATGCAGACTCCGGACGACCGCTCAGTGAGTGACACATCGTATGAATGATGAGAGAGTATGCGAGAGAGTGTGGGAGAGAGAGAGAGTATTGAAGTGTTGATTATATTGTAATGAGAATGAGATGTAATTTTTTTGAGTAGTAATGGTATGTATGGACTGCTAAACAATGGTCTGTCTGTTAGAAACAGTGGTCTAATAGAAGTTATAGCCGTTTGGTGTGAATTAGTTGCTATGTCTGCAACTCTGCCAACACTACAGTACAGCCAATAGTAACTCAACGCTTGCCTAATGTTAGCGAAACTGTTGGCACTCCGTGTTCGCCGAGTTGGCCCCTCCCACAGCTCACACCCCGACTGCCAGCCCCTCAACACAGAGGCCGTATGTATGCCTTTCCACGATACTACCAGTGCTCTCTCGGCGATTGTGAGCCACAAATAACATACACCACACTTCAGTATCGCTATTATGATTATAGTATAAATGAAGTCTATATACGACACACGACTTGTGCTAACACACAGTAGTGGCAAAAGTTTTGGTGTTTAGTGTGAAAACCGGCAGTTAATTAAGACAATCCGTGTCCAGACTTCATATACTACTGCTCTAAACATTTCAACCTCTTTTCTCTCTCTCCCACACTCTCTCGCATACTCTCTCATCATTCATACGATGTGTCACTCATTGAGCGGTCGTCCGGAGTCTGCATTTCATTAGTTATATTAAAGCTGAGCAACAAAACCACACATTCATTAGACATCTAATCATCATTTGTCGCATTATATACCAGAAAAAGTTTTAGTGTTATTAGAGAGTGTGAGTGGAGTGGATGCTATGAGCTGTAGTGGACATCACTGATGCACATCCCTATCCCCTTCAGCATCCGTGGCCCTCGACTAAAGTCAAGTTGTGTCGTGTGTTTGCGTGACGACTGTCCCCTTAAATGCAAGACTCGCGCAAATCATTAGCCATCGGATCTCCGAGTGTTCCGTTGCTGCAGACCGTAAGGCCCGCCACCGACTTCACCATCGAAGCCATTATGGGTCGCCATAATGCAGACAATGACCGCCCTTCCCCTCAATTGGGCACCACTGCCGACTGCATTCGCGCCGGTGGTTCGCCACACAATTCAGCCAAAGGTAACCAATATTTTACAATCTGATCATTTGATTGCTTACTGTTTCTAATTTCATCTAATGTTGAAAAGTTTGTAACTTTTATGTACTATTTGTAGTTTACGCTTAAACTTAGAAGTTTGTTGAAAACTGTATGTTAGAAAGAAATTGCAAAATTGACTTTAATTAATGTGCAACACAGAGACACTTTTGTCGACAGAATTATTACATATTTCTCTCAAAAACTTTAATATTTCAAAAATGCATGAGTTATACATCAGTGAGTTTATATTCACATAATAGCATAAAATGTTTTATTTTGCAATTCACACGTTTGACACTAACTAATGATCGATTATATTCATCACAAGTGGTGACAAAACACAGTCACAGAGTTTGCCACTTATTTTTCAAGAATTTCAGCTATTAGTATACTGTATTTGAATTTCTCAGAATTACAATTTACAGTGGTTAGTTTGTAAATTCTTATAAATATATTTTAAAAATTAAAATAGTTTCCTTGAAATCTTTATATGAAAACTTTATACAATTTTTGATTATCATATTACATATATTTACAGTAGATTTAAAGATTAGTATAACTATTGTGTGTCAATTCTACGAGTTTAATAAGTATTACAAAAATTATAATACAATTAAAGTAGTCTATTTTTGTGAAAATGAGCAAGTGTACAAAAATAGGTGATGGCAACCTGGTCATCGCAATCATAATATGCAATATTCCATGTTATGATGAGTGTGTTGTGTTCATGATTTACTGACATCTGTATAACTAATAATTGATTAGATAAGTGAACAACACTATTGTGTATACAAATTATGAGCCTCTTCATGATTATGGGGGAAATGGGAGGGCAGGCAGTCTATCGCCGCAAAGGGAATTACAGGCAACACGTTTGGAAAGACACTTCTTGTAGCCTAACCGCACATATGAGTTCATTTCCATAATACGTTGTCCGGGGTATTGAAGTTGCCTTTAAATTTCAATATATTTTCATATATTTATGTTATGAATATATGTTTGAACTTATTATCTTTAAAAAATATTCTTAACTTTAAATAATTATATATACAATTGTATGGAATATAGTTACTAGTTATTAATCAATACAATTTTCTTATCAATCAATCAATTCTGGGATTCATATTTAATTCATCGGTTTTGTATGAAATGTAATATTTATTCTCATAGTTTTAATTAATATTAAAGAATACACTTATATATTGATAGGAGAAGTGAATTAAATACTGAAATCAATTAATATTTTATCAGTTTTACTCATTAAGTCTTACTCTAAATGATAAACAGGTTTATATGGATTATTACCAATCGATAAATAATGCCTCAAATGTTTAGCAAACTCACTGATAGTGTGTAATATTCTTATAGATGATACAGTTTTGTTTGATTAATAATAACAATGAAAAACTACTGGATTTGTGTTCATTACAAATTGATAACATTTACAGGCACTTATGTTTTACTTTATATTAAACTTTTGTAAAATAATTGTGACTCACATTCTGGTTATTTTGCGATATCTAAGCAAAAATATTGAGACAATCGTATGATTTATGAATTATTGCTAAAATTATAACAAAAAAGGTGTATAAGGTTAAGACATCAGTCGCTTGAATCTAATGGTTAGATAATATACACAATTTTGTTAAATATACATGGTACTACTGTAATGGCAATATCAAACTTAATGCATTACATGTTATAACTAAATTTGTACAATATAAAAAAATTAGAATATAATTCTTAAAAGGCTTATTTTTAAAAACCTTAATAAATCTAAAGATAATCAAATTTATTTAAAAATGCATTTACAAAAATGTAGAAAACTTATTAAATCTATTTTTTCTTTTTGATATTTACTCGATGTATTTGTTAAACTGGCAAATATTTGTGCAAAAAATATTTTTGCAACAAATAATGAAAACAAGTGGCAAACCTATCCGGATATCACATGAGATAAACGTGTGAACATTATATTAGTTTAAAAATATGTTTGAAGAGAAACACAAATTAAATTAATAATTTCGTTGAAACTTATGTGCCATAAATTATAATTTATGCTAAACTTCAATAAAAATTTAATTTAAGACCAGAATATATTTAGTACTCTTTTTACATTACCGGTATATAATATTTACGTTGTGTACACAAATAGTTTACATATATTAACTTTTAAAACTACAAACATATGCATAAAAACAATAACAAACCAAAAAAATAGTATAATCTTGAATATGACATAAGGGATGCTTATTAAATGTTATGAGAATTTTATTAGAAATCATAAAATATTAATTTAAATTCCATTAAAATTTATTAAATCTTCTTGAACATGTGTATCAGCCCTACAAATGTCAGCATACCTGAGCGCGTCGGCCTCCAGTCCCACCTCATCGCCCATTAAATCGGAATTCCTAACCAACTATAAACGGTTGGACTCTCAGTCGCCGCCGTTATCGCCCGGTTCCGAGTCGGCCGACCTGTCGCTCAACCATCACATCCGACCGCCGAGTTCTTCGTCATCCATCGATCGCGAGAGTCGATGTTCTGCGGCCACCACCACACCCGGGGACAGACCCCTATCTGAGTCACCCTCGGGTCGGTCGCCATCACCGGCGTCGTCGGCGCCCCCATCGCAAGCCTCCATCAAGAGAAACGGTCGCTCGGGTGGCACCAAATCGGAGCCCAACCCCTGTTCAGAGCTGTTGAAACCCAAGTGCAACTGTCCTGAGCTGGAAAGGGTTGACTGTCGGCTCGAGAATAAGGAACTCTGGGACCGGTTCCACGAGTTGGGCACCGAAATGATTA